GATAAACTGCGTACGAAGATATATGAGCTATCCCTCATCGCGGAATAAAGCGAAATCCACACCAGCGCACTGTATGATTATACTTCAAATTCAACTGCGTTATCATCGATTGTCCGCTATCCAAATGTGTGTTATAAGCAAGAATTTTGCGATCGCGCAAGAACTTGGCTCTCTCTTTTCTAGCCGGTCTCTTCCCATCAAAGAAAACAGTATATTATTTCTGCGATAAAATACACCGTTGCTTGTGCAACTCGAAAGATTCGGTTTCTCGCTGGTGTGAATTCCGCTGCACGAGAGGCGCATTTGTGTAAACGTTCCCGCCGCTGTTTCCCACGATCCATCCAACTAGGCGACCCGATAAAAACGAAATAGAGAAAGAAAGCGCGCGCGTGTCTCGACCTAATTTTCATTTTCGAGTTAACATTCGTCCATTATGTGTAGGCGGCCACGTGCAAACCTCGCGTTTCTTTTCCGTCTGACACGAGATTCTTTCAGAGAGAGAGAAAGAGAGCGAAAGAGAGAGAGAGAGAGAGAGAGAGAGAGAGAGAGAGAGAGCGAGATCTATCAGCAAGGTGTAAAAATAAAGTGGAAAAACATTGCGTTCCTAACGTGTTTTCTTCTCTTTCCTCTGTTTACGAGCTATCCACGTGTCGATCCTGAAACACGATATAATTTCTGTGAGCGCGCGCGATTGTACGATCTGCTCTGACTTATTTTGTTTGCTAATCTCGAGCGCCAGATCTGAAATATTTAGACTTTAAAGAGACACACATCACCGCCGACAATACCGCCGATATATTTAAAAGCTTCGCGATCATTTAAAGTCTATATTTACGCGTACTTCCAGGTGCACTAAATTCATCTTGTTTTAATTTCAGTCTCAGTCTCTCTCTCTCTCTCTCTCACACTCACACACATACACACGCATACATGTTTTGCAAACAATAACTCAACATAGAAACTTTGATTAGATTTTTTTTTTATTGCGAACAATCGCGTTTCTCTTCCTGTTTGCGTTGCTCCTTTCGGATGATTTCGTTTGCAAATGGATTCGCGAAATGTATTCTCGGCGTCTTCTTACTTAGCGGTTAAATACGCACTTTACATAGGCGTACGAATTATGCGCGTGGCGTGTCACGCTACGAGCCGGACGCATGTTAACGAGCGTGCCGTGCTCGCTATACTAACAAGCGCGCGATTACTGGCAACCGTTAGATCCGCCGCTAAACGAATCTCCGCCGAAAGGTCGGTTCTTCTTCTGAGAAACGGGGGAAAGCGCCGGGATTTCATTATACGGTCATTTCCTCGCGCCGAGAACACGAGCGTCTCACGTATATATAAGCGACGCAAAAATATCACGAGAAAATTGCGCAAATTAGTCGGCAAAAATTTATTCACTCGTGTGCAATTTTATAAATTTGTATTACATGCGCGCGCGCGTGTGTGTTTGACACACAGAAAAGTCAAACCGAAGACTAAATTATCGACTTCTCATTTTTCCAAACATTAAGAGGAAGAAGAAACGAACGAACTGTTTACACATTTGTTGAATCGCGCTGCTCGTCGACGGCGAGCATGCGTCATGATGAATCGAATTCCCGCTCATGCGTAATGTATTTACGACTTGCTTATCACAAGTCGCGCGCGACGTCGAGAACGACGCGACGGAAGCGACATTTTTATCGCTTTCAGTAGAGGCATGGATAAACGGGAGTTCCACTTCGTGAAAGGTAGGTTCATAAAACGGAGCGTCTGTAAGAGAGAGAGAGAGAGAGAGAAAGAGAAGAGATCGTTTTATGATCTTCTGTCGTACGACATGCCTTTCAATTTGCTCGTGAGCGACGCTAGAGAAATCCGGTGGCATGTAGAATCTATTATCACGTGTTTACAAAGGAATCACGTAGATACAAGGGCGAATAATCGCGCAAATATTTTTATGTCTTTACGTGTTATCGTCATGTCCGGCGCGATACTACATAGTAGATAAAATAAATGATGACCTCTATACAGAAAGAAGAACTCTCGCGATAGTATATCGCAGAATTGCGTTTATCAACTTGTGACAAAATTCTATTAGAAAATTTATAGAGAAAGAGAGAGAGAGAGAAACTGTCTCTCTTTGTGCAATTATTCTTTGCGATTTCTCCTTTCTGCTAGAAACAACTTTTTAATTTGTATATAGTAGAAATGACTCATAAACTAGAGTCTAGATCCATTAAAATTCTTAGAGAGAAAGAGGTTATTAATAAAATTCTTTTTCTACTTCTCACATATGTTTCATGTTATAATAGCATATAGTTTTGTTAAATTTTTTATTCTTACTCTCCGAAGTTTTGCATATAAATTTGAGCAAATCTTTCTTAACACACACACACACACGCAAAACGAGAAAAAGATACTATTATAAAATATGAATTAAGAAGTTCTGATAGAGATTAAATATCAGAAAATGTAGATAGACGACCTCATTTTTTCTCAGGTAATTTAAAACGCTATAAATTTTCTACCGAGCTTTTAGTAGCGCGGTGAGTCCGCGTGTGACCCCGTTAAAAAAAAAAAAAAAATTCATTAAAATTACGCGAGTTACAAGATTCGGGGAATCACATCGTATCTATAGCGGAGGATTATATATATGTAAAGGTCAGCATGTCGCAGGTCGCGCAGGGATGCTAATGAACAGCCGCCGCCGTCTCCGACATTCTGCTTGCGAAATCGATCTCGGGCAGTTGTTGCAGGCTGATGACATTTAAAAGTGCCACGTGAAGCTATCGATCGACGGTGCACGCTCGCACGCTCTTTCTTTCGCGACAAGCGGGCAAGAGACGCGTTGTCGTCGGCGGGCAAAAGAGAGAAAGAGAATGGGAGACGGAGGGAGCGGAGCAACCGACCCAGACGAGAAAACTGCAGTGAAAGCCTGCCTCGCATTCTGGGCCAGACGGAAGAAACGTACAAGGCAGACAGTGTAACGGCCTCTCGCTCCCTTCCCTGCTTCTTTTATTATTACCACCTCTTGCTCCCGAGAGTTCGAAGCCGAGCGTTCGTTACCGAGCGTGCCTTTCCACCCCCGTTTCACCCGCGTGTTCCTCGTCATGATGTCTGCTCGGCTAGTCCTCATGCGGAAAGAGAAAGAGAGAGAGAGAGAGAGAGAGAGAGGGAGAGAAAGAGAGAGACAACAGTATAGATCTCGGTGTTCCAGATACCGTATAAGCGTCCGGACGTGTACTAGTTCCATATCAAACGATATTGAGCGTCTGTGTTTAAGATTAATTTTCTTAACCCTTTCTTTTTTCTCTTTAGGATCTCAATAAATTATTTTTAAGATTTTTAGATAAATCCTCACATTTTATCATGTCCATTTAATGTGCTTCGAACATTCTACACTTAATTAAAATTAACTCGCATAAAATTATTCGTCAATACCAGCAATCTCGACGTTAAAATAAAATAAAGAACGAAGATAAATTTTATTTCGTTTATGTAAACTTCTTCGTCTTCTATTTGAATTTAACGCATAAAATCAGAATCGGATTTTTGACGCGATCGAAGGAATTTTACCGTAAAGGGTCGTCTACAATGGAGAGTTTTAGACCGTAACAGTAAGAAACTGACAAATCACAATCGATTATTCTTCTGTACTTTGCCTGTGATTGGTCAATTTCTTACTATTACGGCCTACAACTCTCCATTGTAGACGGCTCTTAACGTCTGAATCGTCATGAAAAGCTATATGCAGATATGGTCGCGCGTTATTAGATTTCATCGACTTGATCTTTGAAATTCAAGACCACCACGCATCGGGTGCACCGGGTCCCTATCCCGATATTATATCCTTTCATTCTGTATATGTAAATTATATACCTACGCAAGGTGCAACATGCTGCGAGAGGGGAACCTCGGCGGAATTGACTTTTTTTTTTTTTTTTTTACGTACTAGACACATAAAACGCTTTCGCCGACGTGGCGCATCGTCTGTCTGTCGTAATTTATTTCGCTACTACTGTACGCGCGCGCTGTCAGGTGAAATAAAATCTCGGACAGTACTTTCGCCTAGAATTCGCGGTTATTAAATATTCGACCGATCGTAAATATGCAAAAGCGACGTTTCCTCTCTAGAAAAACCTGTTGTACTGCCTCACTCGCGAATAACTGATGAATCAAAGAGTATTTAAAATCGTTCGACATTGATTTATTTTATGTCGCGATGTTCACTTGTTTTAACAGACGTGAAAATAGTAGTGATATAAATTATAAATTTTTAACACAGAGCACTTTTATTTAATTTAGTGTTTTATCTCTTTCACTCTCTTTTTTCTCCTCTCTCACAAATTTGATTTTTTAATTATACGAAAACAGTTTTACACAGGAAACTGAAAAGCCATCAATAATAAGTTAAGCTGTAAAAGTCGAAATATATAGATGAGTAAAGGAAACTTCTCTCCTCTCTCTCTCTTTCTCTCTCTCTCTCTCTCTCTCTCTCTCTCTCTCTCTCTCTCTTTCGATCAACTTTAGATTAGTTTAACTTTAAATTTCGTTTAAAATTACATCGACAGGATGTTAAATAATGAAACTTGAAAAAAAGCGTGATTAAATACTTGAACAAATCTTCTCTCTGAGAAAAGATTGATTACGATTATCTCTATACAACCGTGTAAAATAATGTATTTTATAATTATATTATTGATGCGCATATAAATCACACTTGCGTATTCATAACAATATCGAAACATAAAAGTCATCGAAATTACATCGGCTTTTTTAAGCGATATGTCAAAAAATCATTATAAAAAATTTGACGCTGCAGAAGTGTGAGGCCTATAGTATAATATTTCGATAAATAATGCGAATATTTATCCAAGAGCGCTTTTCGACACGCTTGTCGTTCAGGCAATGCGCGGACAGTGTTCTTCGAGTGCGACGCAAAAATATAAAAATGCACATTTAGAAGAAAAAAAAAAATATATATATATATTTATATAAAAACACTTTCCAACTACACATACCACTAGTGCCATGTCGCGCGGTTTCGACCCCTGGACGTGGAGGATTCGCGCGCCCAGCTCGAGTAGTTTCCTGCGCAGCTGTTTGACGGAGACGCCGAGCGTCTGCATGTAGCGACGCCTCAGCTTCATTTGAACGGAGGAACCGCCAGGTTGTTGTCGGCGTGCCGGAAACAACCACTGACCGTTGACGTCGGCCGAGCTCGTCGAGTTGACATAAACGCACCACCGACACTTTCGCTCGTCGCGATTTCCTCCAACAGTTGTTTGCCGAACAGCACGAGAAAGTCTCGGTCTCGACGTCGTCGTTGTCGTCGTCGTCGTCGTCGTCGTGACGATTGCACCGATGATTTGATCACAAATTTACTACTTATGTTTGTCACGTCTAGAACGCGCTTTCTAACTTTCCGCCAGACGGCCGCGATACAATAAAGGAATACTTGACGAGTCTCACGTCGTCATCGTCGTCACGAAATAGCTCGTTGCGTTTTCGCGACGAGAGACACTATTTGTCGTTTGATATTCTCGGTTCCCGTGACGCTTGGTCCACCAACGACGACGATCGATCGGCAGGGCCCGTTAGGAGGAAGCGACCCCGTTCCCACTTAATTCGATTGTATCCGGTGCTCCGCCAGCGATCCCACTTGACCATAAGCGTTACGGTCGTTTAACGGCCTGCGTCTAATGGGAGCAGCCGCAACGCGACTCCACCGCCGTGTTATCCCCTTCTCTGACTGCCGTATATCACCGCGAGAGAAGGAGGGAGGAAAGGAGGTGGCGGAGGAGGAAGAGGAGAAGGCGTCTCTTCTCTCTTTTTCGATTTTAAACGTCGCCTTGTAGTGTAGCGTAAGAGATTATCGGAGGTTTCCGGGAGAGCGAGAGGAAAACACAAAGAGATATGATGACGGCAGTCGCACACACTATGCACTACTCTCGGTTAGTATTATCGGAAAGTCTGCTGCTGCTGCTGCTGCTGCTGCTGCTGGTGTATGCGCGCGCGCACCCGCCGTGTCTCGCAGCAGCGTTGAATGACGTCGAGATATATACCCGGCGGCGGCAAGCAGAGGTCTAGACGGGCCCGACCTTGACTCCCGAAATCATCTCGTGCGCTCGCGTCGTTCTTGCGCGTCCACCAGCAGTACGTGGAGATCTCTCGCTCTACCCATCGAGCGTCCGGTTTTCACCCCAAGATCCACCACTGCGTAGTATCAGAGATCTCCGCCCTCGTACATGAATTCGTCTCACGCTCGGAAAAGCAGAGGGAGGAAGGGGGAGAAGGGATACGTCGGAGAGGGAAGCAGGGAGCGAGTCGGTGGAGAGAGCGAGGGCAGACAGCGAGATCCGGCGAGGGATAAGCGGTGGCACAAGAGGGACAAGCTGTTTTGGCGGAGTTCCCGTCGCGCTGGCTGGATTGCAGAAGAGAAAATGTCAGCGCGCGTTCTCGTCAATTGCGAAAATCGCAAAGACGTGTCGGCGAGAGGCAACAACGATGTGCGCGTTTAAGTGTATGCGTGTGTGTACGTGTGTGTGTATCACACACCGAGATTTCTCGCGACAACCCTTCTTTTCTTCTTCGTCGTCCTTGTTTTCGTGATGACGAGCTCGTGTGCGTGCTCGTTCGTATTCTCGCGATCGTACAGGTCGTCGATCGTCGGTCGTCGTCGTCGTCTTTTTTTTCCTTTTCTTTTTGTCACGTTCCGACGGCACACAGGACGGCACGATGAAACGGATGTTGTATCCGTCGGCGTGTTCTGGCGTCGCCTCCGCTCGATCGCGGCGCACACGAGAAATCGGAGCGATGCGAGGACGGTCCTTCGTGTCGCGGCGACGGCGGCGGCGACGCTCGTCGACACAACACCCAACACATTCCAAGTTCGACGGCAGACTGAACGCGTCCGGTGTCTGTCAGACTGCAGCACCGTCGCAAGTCGACTCTTCTTTCTCTCTCTCTCTCTCTTTTTCTCTCTCCCCTATCTCTCGTACGTGTCTCCCCTCCAACCCTCTCGACTACCCCACTATGATGCCGTGGTTTCCCCTTCGGCTCCTACCGCACCATCACCGCCGTCGCCGTCACCGCCGCCACCGCCGCCGCCGCCGCCGCCGCCGGCGCAGTGGCCGCATTTACCTCCTCCTCTCGCTCCGCTTCGCGCAAAGCGTCGCGCCACGCCGCATCGCGTCTCGTCCTCGTCTCCCTCCCCGCAGGGCGCACGCAGCCCCAGACCATAGACATATAAAGAATAGACTGCGCGTTCCGATCAAGCCCTGCAAGAATCTAGAGAGAGAGAGAGACAGAAGATTAGGGATGTGTTGCTTTCTCTCTCTCTCTCTCTCTTTCTGACATAAGAGTAAGGATGAAGAAGAGATTGCATCGTCAAGAAGTTAAGATGCCTTTTCAAAACATTTATCTTCTCATTCTGATATTTTACAGCGTCACTCATTAAAGTTAAAACAAAATATATAATCTATTGTTATTATTGTCGATGTGATTTTGGACCAGATTTTCCACCAAAATATTCAATTTTCAATCTAACGTGCTGGTTCACGTTTAAGCTAACGCAACCTAATTTACCTACACCTACTACGTCTATAGCCGAGACTCACCGACTCTCTCTCTTTTTTCTTCCTTCTCTCTCGCTTGCTCCCACGCACCCGCCACGTCACGCTATACCACGCCAGATGCCGCATTGTACGCGTATGTGTGTGTCTGTGTCTTTCTGTGTGCGTGTATCGCGGGTGCTGATCCACCGGCTGATTAGTCCAGCGTGTCGTCGCACGACGCAAAAATCATTCGCGTTCCGCGCGCTCGCTCGTTCGAGCGCACGTTTTCTCTTTCTTTCTTGTGCGAGAGATGATTCTATGCAGCGATGCATCGAGGATTGGCTTGTAATATTGAAACACGGTCTTTCCGTCTCTCTCTCTCTCTCTCTCTCTCTAGTTAATAGTTTTTTGGCGCTTTAGAAGATATTACCTCAAGAGAGCTTTTATAAAGTAAACATTCACTCATTCATTCTGTCTTAGAGATCCTCCTCCATTATTGCTTTAGCTATTAATAGACAAGAGATATCCTGAGATTGACTTTCTCGCAACATATTTATTTATAACGTTTATGTACACCAGCACAAATGGATTTAAATAAAAGTGATTATAATCACCGAGATAATTCCGGGATTTAATCGAAAATTCGGAGAACAATATATACCCAACACGCGATGCAATTAATAATAAATTAATATGAAAACTTCAATTAGAATTTTTATAATGTACCTGTTGCGCTTTTTATTACATACATACATTATATACAATGTCTCTTTGTTATTTTATTTGAGAACTACTACTGTCACTTTGCAAGCGAAAAAAAAAGTTGCGATGAGCGTCGAACACAGTGTCGAAAGGTCAATCAAAAAATTCGTGCAACGCGAGCAGTTAAGTGCACATAATTCGCGCGAGTTAGTCGTAACAACGGAGCATTACAATCGATCCTGTTAATTCGCGCGCGCATCGCATACACTCCGCGCGCGAGGGATGAAATTACGCTTGAAATTATATCAGCTTGTTATTTCGGTCCCCACTGGCGTCGATCGATCGATGCCGCTTCGGTTCAAGATTAATGTGTCGTGGATCGAGTTACTCGATTAATTCGCGCGCGGCAAACGTCGGTACGATATCGTTCTTAAAAATTACATTCACGTATTATGCGCCGAGAAGTGCCTTTATTTCGTTACGGTGTCATTTTGCTCCAAAAAACTTCTCGTTTCGAGAGAAAATGATCAACTACGAATTCAAAAATCTATAGAAGAGAGATTAACGCGAGATCTCTGTGCGCGATTATCTCCAAAATAAACGTATAACAAAAAGATAAAAAAATTATAGCACATTTTCAATGATTTGTAAAATAGTTTGTCTCACACAACATTTTACACAATATGTACATATTGGAGCATACATGTATGTATATCTCGATGACCTTACTCTTAAAGAAATTAAAACCGTGAAATCGGTAAAGAACGTAAATATATATATATATATATATATACATGTGTGTATATATGTATAGTCGATCGGGGTCAAATTATTTACGTGAGCGCATATTTCCGCGTTCATTGCTCTATTAGTCACCTATTGTGATGCAATATCGGGTGGCCTCGTTCTCGATCCAGAGAAAAGAACGCGGCTGCGACCGGCGTACGGTCGATCATCCTGCCCGACGGAATTTCGACATTGCCCCCGATAACGAGCAGACGCGAAGCGTATGTGACGGGTGCGTATACACGTACACACACGCACATTACGATATCCCAGACGCCGGTCGCCCCCTACCGGTTGTCGTCATCGTCGTCGTCAACGTTGTCGTCTCGCAACGAGAAAGAGAGAGAGAGAGAGAGAGAGAGAAAGAGCTGGTTGAAACGGTCGGTCGGTCTCACCGACGATTTCTCACACCCGCGCCCGTGAGAGCGAGCTATATAGCGTCGAACGAGCGACAGACAAAAGTACGAGAAAGAGAAAGTAGGAGGGAGAGAAAGCCGGGACGGCCGGTAATGGCGGTGACGTCGCGCCGGTCGGGGGATTTGGTGAAGGACGAAAAACAGCGAGAAAGAGGACCCGAAAGGGGGAGTAAAACGAAAGAGAAACACCGAAAGAAGGGAGAAAAAGAATAAAAGAGTCCGAAGGCGAAAGAAAGGTGAGCTCCGCGCGTCCGAGAGAGCACCCTTCGCGACGTCATCCCGCTGGTCGCACCTTAAGGGGCATTCAGCGACGTGCGCAGGGAGCGGGCGGTCCTCGGGGAACCCTCGCCGACCTCGCTCACCTCCTCACCGCGGCCAAGGTCGCCTGTCGTCGGCGAACCGTCTGTCTCCGACGTCGATTCGTCCGTCGGCGGTCTCTCGACGTTTGTATATGCGCGCACCGCACGCGCGTGTAGTCATCGTCTGCTGCGTGCGCGCGCGAGAGAAAGAGACAGAAAGCAAAAGGCTCTCTCATATCTCTTTTGCGTCTTCTTCTCCGTGCGTATGTATGTATTTATCGCGCGCGATGCGCAGACGGCCGTCATCGTTACGAGACGACCGGCGTGGTGCGGCGCAGACCCCGCTGTTGTCGCCGCACAGCCGGTGTTTGTGTGCTCGCGGCACGCTCGCGAGATTCCGACGTCGTTGTTTACCGTGCCCGAATTAACCGCTTCGTATACGCCCGGCGATATAACGCGTATAATTAACTCCTCGTCGCTTCGCCTTTCGCCCCGCGAACGGACGAACGGACGACCGGACGGACGAACGGACGGACGCGCGCACAATTCGCGCCAAGCAGACGAGACGAGACGAGACGAGACCAGACGACGGGAAAACTGTCCTCCGTCGTTCGCCCACGCGGAAATTTGCACGACGAAAATTCTCACGCTTCCCCGCGGAGAAATTTTCCCAAACTTTGGCGAACTTCAACTTGAAAATTGTCATACTTGAACGCGGAGGTAAAACGCAGAGAGACTCTTTCTCTCTCGAAGTACCTATGAACGAGGGTCGTAAGAGCTCGTGTTCTTCGTTTCCTATACGAGATAAGAGTAATGTTTATTGCATATACAACAGAAAAGTGGTCTCGTCGTATCGTATGTTTCGTGCAAAATTTTATGATTGCACTTTGCACGGCGACGAGACTGCGGCGTCAAACGCAGACGGGGCGCGAGCACACACATTGCGCTTTTCCTCCGATTCACGTGCGACGTAACGACGATGACGACGAGTACGACGACGACGGCGGTGGCGGCGGCGGAGGTCTCCCTACTCGGGATTTTATCACCGGCGCGTGTCTGCGAGCAACGTGTCGTCGTTGCGCGTGTATGAACGCCGCTTCAAGCAGGATTCACATTAGCGAACTGAAGCTACGAATCGCGTACCCAACTTCTCCCTTTGAGAAAGCGGTAATTTTCGTTTGCAATAAGCTGTACGCAGTGATATAATAATACGGCAAATTGTAAGCCGTAACGCTGCAATAAACGATAACACCGCGGTAAAATATTCCGCCTTTTGATGAGAGAAGCCGAGCAGAGCGAAGCAAAATGCTCAACAAAAGTTCAACCTGACATTCGGCTTGCGAATGTGAACTCCGCTTAAATGGACGGTGCACTCGCGCGCGCGCACGGCCGACATATCTGTCTCTATGTGCGAGAGAAGGCAAGCGCTCTGTGTTCGCGCGCATGTGTATGTGTGTGCGCGCGCGCCGTCTAGACGGAAGGTTGTTGGGACCGAAGGCGAGGGTCGGCGGGGGTGAGAGGAAAGACAACGGCGCGGCGAAGGGACCGAGGAGCACAGCACGGCTCGGCGGCGGAGGTGGAAAAAGGCCAGGGAGGGCAGCGAGACGGCAAATAGTGGGGGGCATGATAACCGGCTATCACTGGGGTGATCATCCAACGCGACTCCGGCACGGCTCGGCCGGAGCGAGGTATATATTGCACTTCACCTCCGCGCTGCTCTCTTCTTTGCCTCATTTTGTCTATCGTAGTTTTTTCCAAAATATTTTCCACGCGCGCGATAGAAGAAAAATCATTTTCATAATCTTTCGCACGATAATCGTGCGAGCACTTGTTTATTGAAAGAACAAGGTCTGGCATTTATCGATTAAATCGTTTTAATCTTGATGCTCTCACTTAGACCGGTAAAAGTACACTCTGCTATCGACGTGATGACGCATCTTCCGAAAAAATCGACAATGTTCGCGCGCGATAAAATTTCGATTTCGATTTTGTTTTCCTGACCACAGCCAGCCGAAACGATATTATTCTACGGATTGGTGATTATAATTGTCTGGCGTGATCTCGCGCG